GCCCTTATGGGGTAAAAGTCTTTTGCTTCTTCCCCTAACTAGAAGAAAAGGATTGGCCCCCTTCTTCTTGTCCTTAGCAACTGCCTCATGGATGCCCCTTGCATCTTCCATCTACCTCTCAATGGTCATGGTTGTCTCGACTATTGAGTCCAAGTTTTGTAGCTGGTGGCCCATAATCTTTCCCCAAATGGACAACTTCAAGCTATCCATGAACCTCCTCATTTTGGCCAAGTCTGTGGCCACATAATAATTTGCAAAAAATGGGCTAACTCGATGAACTTAGCCACGTATTTCATCACTGTCATAGTCCCTTGCTTCAAATCCAAGAATTCTCAGGTTTTTGCTTGCCGAACAGCTGACGGGAAGTACTTGCCCATGAAGAGCTCAAGAAGCTCTCCCTATGTCATTGTCTCTAGGTTCTTGGAAGCCTTTACCCAATTCTACCAGAGATGGGCCTCTCCTTCAAGTTGGAACACAGCTAACCTTATCTTAGTGGCATTAAATGTGATCTCTATAGCCTCTAAGATCTTATTGACTTATTCGAACCACTGGTTGACCACCATTTTGGTGTCCTCTTCCTCTATTTTCCATTTACACATTTGTCAAATAGCAACAAAGTACTAACTTAGTATCCCAAAGTAGGGATCAAAGTCAAAACATTGAGATTTATCTCCTTGTCTCACTAGTAGAGCATGTCCCACCCACTAATGGACATCTATACCATGAAATGTTTCGTTCCTTCTCTTTTTGACCCCCAATGTTATGTTCTCTAATCCTGGTGTCTCCTTTCCATATACATTAAATCATGTATATTATTCACATAATACATAATGTGTAGCATTTAGAGCACATAACATGTAATGTACGATGGATGCAATGACCTAGACCTATGCCCCTGCAAGTCCTAGATAAATTGAGAACATAGGCTCTAATACCAAGCTATGACGCCCCTAAAATCGGGGGTCATTTCTCAACCCGTTGATCACTCATCAACCTATGGAAGTACCTGTGCATGCTGAATAACCCAACACCACGTCATCATACAACCATTCCAAGGTCCAATACCCATCAATTTGCCATCAATATTACTCCATTTATATCCTCTAAATAAAAGGGCTCAAGGACGAAGGCTTGGCAAAGTTATTTTAATTTTTTGAAAATTTTAGATTAACTATTGGTAGCTCGTGTACTTACTACAAGTAGTTGAGCCCTCTGCCAATGAGCTTCCAGTAGTTGTGAACCTAGCTAGCAGTAGTTGAGCCCACTTCTAGCGAGCTACCAGTAGTTATGAACCAAGATACCAATAGCTGCCCANTAGTTGTGAACCTAGCTAGCAGTAGTTGAGCCCACTTCTAGCGAGCTACCAGTAGTTATGAACCAAGATACCAATAGCTGCCCACTGGAATTGTGCTATTGGTAGCAAATCAATGTGCTACCAGTAACAGGGCCCTCAATTAAATCATTTTTTAATTTCAACTCATCCAATCTTATACAAAATTTACTCAAACTCATATAACATCAAATTTTACACAAAATATAGTTCTTATGAGTTCATTTTAAAATCCTTTAAACAATATTAAAAGTCTAAAACAATGTACACTATTGTTTTACAAAATGCAAGCTTAAAGCCACATTTCGACTTCTTCTCAACAAAGTCCCATGTGAAGGCCATCCACCAATGCTTGTCCCACACCTGAAATATTGTCCCTATAAAGGTGAGTCACGCTTAATAAGGTATCTCCTAAAGAGGCTATCTCCCAACTCAGATACATATGAAATGTTCAAAAGTAATTCAAGAATTAAACAAACATCCATCCAAGAATATACAATTCATAAATCATTCACAATGTCATNCAATGCTTGTCCCACACCTGAAATATTGTCCCTATAAAGGTGAGTCACGCTTAATAAGGTATCTCCTAAAGAGGCTACCTCCCAACTCAGATACATATGAAATGTTCAAAAGTAATTCAACAATTAAACAAACATCCATCCAAGAATATACAATTCATAAATCATTCACAATGTCATGTCATGTTATGAGAAGAGACTTAAGCATGCAATGTAACCCGAGCCTTCATCGGCACCCATAACACATGCAATGCCATGCATATGTACCCGGGTATTCCAAGCCCTGTCATTGATGTTACACATCCAATTACTATTTTATAAAATGAAGCATGTGTCTTTCTTGGGTAGGTTATTTCCTGGACTTGCACCAATGGTCCACCACACTAACACGAATTTTGGTATCCCACCTCTGATTTTGCGTACACCAATGCACTTTTTTGGATTTTCACCGTCGAAAATATATAAATCAGTAATAAGATCTTGCACTAGAGGGACAGAGCCTAGCCCNCCGGGTATTCCAAGCCCTGTCATTGATGTTACACATCCAATTTCTATTTTATAAAATGAAGCATGTGTCTTTCTTGGGTAGGTTATTTCCTGGACTTGCACCAATGGTCCACCACACCAACACGAATTTTGGTATCCCACCTCTGATTTTGCGTACACCAATGCACTTTTTTGGATTTTCACCATCGAAAATATATAAATCAGTAATAAGATCTTGCACTAGAGGGACAGAGCCTAGCCCTTGTTGCTATACCTGACACAAGTTTGCATGCATCTCGTGCAACTTAGTCGGACCTACGTCCAACCTTCCCAAGTCCATGTCTCAACTACCAAGAATGGTATTTGATCCAAAAATATGCACACACCCACATTCATGTCAATGCCCACAAATATAATGCTTCCTGTGCATATGCAAATGTAATAAACTATTGCATTTCATATTATTATGCAACCAAGTTTTCAATTGCAATTACAACATCACCTTCAACATGTCATGAGCATAACATGAACAATCCCAAATCCTCAATGTAACTTATATTATAAAGCATATAATTAGATTTCAACATCATCACAAAGTATTTTATATCAATTTCATTCAAATAACATATTTAATCAATCATAGGTATTTTATCAAACACCCAAAAGGCACAAAATTATGTAAAC